CATTGTTATACAGACTGGCAACTAAAGCAAGCTTTTCGTCCCAGTCCACCTGGTTAGGCTTGATGTAGTGCCTCAACAGGTGCTGCACAGTGCGGTTCATCTGCTCCGCCTGGCCATTAGCTTCTGGATGGCTTCCAGAAGTCAYCTRCAGTTGAGTTCCCTGTTCAGCTGCAGCGGCTTTCCACAGTTCACTAGTGAACCGTACGTCTCTGTCACTAACAATAGTCTTTGGTAGTCCAAAGTCTCTGACCCAGTTCTCCTTGAACAGTTTGATTACGTACTCGGTCTTTGCTGTTTCCGGCATGGCTATTAATCTAGCATACTTACTAAATCTATCCACGATGACGAAGATCTGCCTCATTCCACTCTTGCTGGTGATCAGCGTATCCATGGAGTCCATGGACAAGCTTTCACCTGGCCTTTCCGGAATCGGAAGGGGCTTAAGCAGCCCGAGAGGAGCTTGAGGGACAAGTCTCCACATACAGTTGTGCATCTCGCATCATCGTGGGCCACCAGAATCGCTGCAGCAAGTTGGCTGCGGTCTTCTTATACCCAAAATGATCGGTGGCGTCATGACACTCACCTAAAAACAAACTACGCAAAGACTCGCTATTTGGAACACACAAGCGTTTATTCCCTGCCTTCTCTAGGAACAGCAATCCATTGACCAACTCAAACTCGGCGGTGGTCTTTTTATCCTTCGCCTCCAGTCTGCGTATGATCTCAGACATAAACTGGTCCTGATGATAGGCTTCCACCAAAGACTAAGTAACATTGTCCGTCAGGCCGAATTCAGTAATCAGCGCACCTGAGAAATCCGGTCTGCGTGACAAGGCATCAGCAACCTTGTTGTACTCCCCTTTAAGATACTGAGGGTCAAAGTCATATTGCTCAATGACTTCAATCCAACGCTTAAGAGCGTCAGAGAGTACTGGCTGAGTTCTCATCCATCTCAGGGTTTGATGATCAGTCCGGAGGATGAAGAACCGCCCAAGGAGGTAGTGTCTCCAATGGGTGAGAGCCTTGTACACCCCATAGAGCTCCTTCTCATAAGTGGACTTGGCCAACTTCTGAGACGGCATTTTCTTGGACATGTACTCTACTGGCCTCAACTTTGACCCCTCCTGCTGTGCAAGCACGGCGCCAATGCCATATTGGCTAGCATCCGTGGTTACTATAAATGGCTTATCAGGATCGGGTAACTTCAAGACTTCATAGCGCGTCAATGCATGCTTCAGATGTCTGAAAGCAGCCTCGCACTCATCTGTCCATTCCCAAGGGGTGTCAAGGCGGGTCAGATCAGTCAAACAAGCGGCCACTATGCTGTAGTTCTTAACGAAAGTCCTGTAGTAGCCTGTCATTCCTAAGAACGATCTCATCTCAGTCACGAACTGAGGACGTGGCCAATCACGAATGCTGGCCACCTTCGCGTCATCGGGCTTCATCCCTTCCGCGGAGATCTCATGACCCAAGTACAAGATACGGGTGCGGCCAAAC